TAATCTTTATGTCTTTGTTTTAAAATAGCATAAATCATCACTGTTGCTCACTAAAATATGTTTTAAATGTTCATAATCATCCAAATTAAGTGGGTCAAACACAAGCAGATGCAGGATAGTGTTATAAGGATGTAAGCAACTCTTTCTATGTAACTCCCAACGATACAGAAAGTCACTGCTGTGGTGGAGATACTTTATCTACGCTAACATGTTGGCATTTTTCCATCGGTAATGAACACATTTACCTCCTCAGGACAGATAGTCAACTTGTCAGGCCGGTTTGTCAAGGTCTTTGTCATTGTGCCAGGAATAATTTCCTCCTCATCAGTCACAAACACCGCAGACCTGACCTCCACTGTGCACTCTTATCTCTGGCTTGTTTTGGATGTCCTCTCATAATTAAAGCTGCTGTATGACTACAATGCAGGTCAGACAGTGAATCTCTTTTAAGGCAGTTGGAGATTCATGATCCCGGACAGCCACATTCAACTTCACTAGATGGGGACATAAACAGTCGCTGGGAAATAAATTTTGTGAAGGGCTTGTGTTCTAGAAAGAATTTTGGCAAAGTTAGTCATCTTTAATGTCAAAGGTTGCATAACAGGAGATAATCTGTTGTTGCCAAAAGAAAAGAGAAGCTCTGGAATTTGCCTCTTTGTTTTGGTGTTAAAAGTCAGTTTTATTTTGCAAAGCTGATAGGGATGATTGAAACATTTTTAATACAGAATTCATTTACTTGTTATTTTTTGAACAACCATTTGATTACGGATGATATTTTTATTAGATCAGACACTCACACCAGTGTGTGAGAATACTCTGCCTTGGAACAGCAAGACACCCAGCTTCTTTCTCAAACATTAACTTAGCTAATCAAGATATGGCAAAACCTGCCAAAAAGTGGCTGATCTACTAAAATTATTTCTAGAAAACCCAACAACTACTGTAACCCACAAAAGAATCCAAAAAAATCTAAACCTCAGAGATAAAAGGACTCTTTACCAGCCAATACAACTTGGTGGCAGCTTTTCTACTATGCAGTGCTCAAGCAATTAATCGTATTAATCAATTATTGAAATAATTGTCAACTAATTTAGTTATCGATTAAATGGGCTGAGCTGCCCTGGCTACACTGGCTACACTGGCGCCGTCTGACCATCATCAGTAGACAATGCAATGAAGTGTCTTTCCCAAGGACACAAAGACAATGTAAACTGGAGCCTCAGACAATGAGTAATCATTACCTGGAGTATAGAGACTGTAAAATATGCCTTTAGCTGACAGAGTGACCCACATAGAGCATTAATTATATCAAAATACTAAAAAAATATATAAATTTGTTGCATATATTTAAAAAAACAAAAACTTTTCTATCTGTCAATATGCTCTATCCAGAGCTCCTCAAGTGGAAAAGTTTTAGTTTAACCTGGTTAAATTTTGTTTAAAAAAAATCTCCTTTTGCCATCCGATTATTAATTGAAAAAAGAATCAACAGATGAATATATTAGCAAAATAATTAGTTAGTTGCTTTCGTACTTCGTAGTAGTACAGCCGAACCAGCAATATTTACAAAGCCTTTAAATGATCTGATAGGATCTGATCTGCAGAGCTAAGCACCATGCCCAAAAACTGTACCCAAGTAAGAGCAGGACCATTTCAATGTTTTTTTTTTTACTCAAATAAATGTAAAAAGTAGCTATCCACGAAATGACTTAAGAATAAAATAGTATTTGGTTAATAAGGCTACTCAGGTGGTGAGTAACCAGTCTACTTACTACTGAAGCTCAAAGCATTTTAAATCTGGAAAGGAAATCTTTCTGTACAGCTTCAAATATTTAAGAAAGATTTTGACCAAACCATTTTTTGCTCAAATCTAAAATGTCAAACAAGCAGAAATCTCTAAATAGAATCAAATGCGACTGGAGCAGATATGGGAAGCCAAAACTGCCATATATTCAATAAATTAAAAGTGGCAAGATTATTATCTGCAAATGTACCAATTTCAATGTTACTTGTGATGCATGCATTAAACTAATATTTCATTATATTAAATAAATAATTACATTATCTTATTTAGTTAATGAACTAGTAATTTTATGTTTTCGTGCTTCCAGAAAAAAAAAAAATTCTGAACAGAAAAAAACTGTTCCAGGCGCTGCCAAGGCTCTAAGCTAACCTGATCTTGATTGGTAGAGTACCAAGAAATTTTATTTATTTTTTATAATACAGTAAAATAACTCTTTAAAAGTATTTTATTCCCTTCGAAAAGATACTCAGTTAAATATTACTAGTTACGACCCACCTCTGCTGTTTGCTTTGTGTCACTTTTTCCTTTACTGAATCACATCATATTTCTCCAGTTTGAATTTTTATCCAGGTTATGTTTTTCTGAGATTAACAGAAAAAAGCCAAACCTGAAGAAATCAGCAGTTTTATTGTGTTTGTGAATTAGTTTTCTTGAATGGCCTACATAAACCCTAATCTTCTTTGCTCCCCTCAAAGCAGCCATTGTCCCTGGAATCATGAGTGCAGCATAAATTAATCCCCCTGTCCCTAAAAAACAATATTTGCTCTGCTCCCCCGGTTTTTAACTGCACCCTAACCTGATTGGGAAATAAAATAACCTCTTGTCTTAGCAAACTCTGGTCCTGCTGAGTCATTATTTCAGCATCTCCTTCAGATCATCTTTGCCAAAGTTTTTAACCTTCATGTAGATCCATTTGACTTTTGTTTTGAAATGTCTCGTATTTGTCTTTTCCAGGTGACCGAGGTGTGTGGAGCGAAGCACCTGGGTTACTTTGGTACAACCCAGTTCTACATTGCTCTGAAGCTGCTAGCAGCTGCCCAGTCTGGTCTGCCCATCCGCCTGGAGAGTGTAACCGGCAGTAAGTCTTTTCCTCAGAGCGAAGGCGTCTTATGAGAGCAAAAGGGGATCAGGAGATTATCTTAACATGGCGGGATTTGGTCTAATCTGGATGAAAGGGGAGTTGCGTGGTAAGAGCTAAGTGGGTTTGCCCTCATTAAAGTAGTGCACAATCAGTCGCACCCCGACCAGAGAGGAAATCTGTTTTACCCCACAATGGATTAAAAGGGGAAGGGAATTCAGAAGCTCCTATATATGGTGGTCTGTAGCAGAGCTGTTAAGATGCTCACCCTGATTATTCCCCTCATTTAATGACTAATGCATGTATTATATAACATATCTTTATTTAAAAAGTGGGAACGAAACACTTATTTATAATTTTTTACACATTTTCTCCGCAGATCTACCTCTGCCCCGATTCGCTGGGCTTAAGAATGATCCGGAGATGCGATACACAGCTATTGCCCCCGGCTCTGACCCTCAAGGGGCCACAGCTGGTTCCGTCACCTGGAACCCTGCAGACAGGAGCACTTTCAGACACCTGGAGGCCAACGCTGAGGGGAAAGGAAGACCTGTAAGGAAATACTGCTGATGACCTTTCCTCTATTGTGTTTTCACTCTGAGAAAACATTTTTCCAAGCAGAGATAAAGTTACAATCAACCAAAAGGATTAATATCTTTATTGCATCTCATGAATTAATTAGTTTTTCACAATCCTGGTGAGAAATTAGTCCTTTAATCCTGCAGGTGTTCTTTAGGTGACAGAAGGCCGACTTTATTAAAGGAAAAGTCCGGTCAGCAAAGAATAATCCATTGATCATTATCTATACCTGAAACTAATACGTTTGTGGTAATTTAATGGATTTAGCCTTAATCAGTAAAAAGATAAAATAATTATTTTTCGCCGTGATCACTGAGACTTGCAGCAGCCATTTTCGCCCAAATATAGTAACACCTCACTCCTAACGTCTTCCGGCAGTGACGTCACGGTGCGGTAAGCCTAGCGCCATTCTCCCCGCTTTACAGGCTAAATCAATGGGAACTACTAGACACATCTGCAATCAACAACAATTATTGAAGATTTCCAGAGGACTTCACCATTGAAATTCACCAGAGCTATAGTGAAACTGTCAATGCCCACGTGCATGGCAGCTAGATGTTTTAATACATCAGGTAAAAGTGAAACCTTTCTGATTCACGATCCAGCACGGACGGGTTACTGCGGTCCTGGTTGTTGGATTGCCAACTTGAAGAGGGAGGATTTAAAGGAATAGTACACCCAAAACATGATTAGCCTTCATTTTCTACTCACCCCCATGCTGAACAACACTCTGGAGTACTTTTTTGATATCTCAAATGCATCTGGAGATCTGGGAGGCTTCTTGCTGTCTGCTGACATTCAAATAATGGAGGTCTATGGCGCCCGAGGCAGAAAGGTCCATAAAAGTCCACAAAAAACGTGTCAATATTCCTCCATACTGCTCGTCCAATGTATTCCAAGTGTCCTGAGTGGGTAGCATCTAGAATTTACTCGAAACAAAGTCATTTAGAATGTTTTTAGAGCATAAACAGTAGTGTATAGGATTTCCTGAAAGCGCGCACCTGCGCGTTCACGAGCCTACGGAAGCCGGCAGACCAAGCCAGATGAAAGTGCGCATTCAGCGTCTGCTCTTCCAATAATGCAAGCGTAGAAGAAGAAATGTGCCGTTTACCTGTGCAAAGAAAGAAACAACGAAAGAAAAATGTCTGAGGACTTCAGTGTTGAGGAAGAGCATGAGTTCTTTGCCGAGCTGAATGCGCTGGTTTGGTCTGCCGGCTAATGAAAATGAAGGCTAATCATGTTTTGGGTGTACTATTCCTTTAACATCAAATTTCTGGCTGGAGAAAAAAAAACACGTCATATGTAGCCAACATTTCAAAGAAGAATGTTTTTAAGATAATAGTGTGTTGTGACAAACACCAGATACAGCACTGGGACTTGCTCAACAGCCGATACCGCACCGTGACGTCACAAACCAGTAGGTGGCAGTAGTGTTCTTTGACAAACATGGATGTATTTGGCAAAACACAGTCATATGAAATAACTTTTAATTAAAAACACTTCATATTTATTGAACAGTACATAATAATTTTGTATTTAAAGTACTTTCAGAAGTTTGAATTCTGAATATGACCAGAATTTTCCATTAACGTCTTAATGAACATCTGAAGGTTTAGGTCTGAGTTCATCACTATATCCAGATTTAGAGCCTGATTGGTGGTTTGTACCTAAGTTTACTGAAGCTACGTTCTAATTTCTAAACACTCCTTTTTTTTGTTTAGGCCCAAAACCTTTCACTTCAGCTGTTAGCACGTCAATGCATCGATTTTATAATTTATATTCTATGCGTTTACACATACCTGGGTTAATGTGTTCACAATCACCTGGTGACACGCTAATGTACAGCTGTGTGTCGTCTGCATAGTTATTTTAACTTGGCTTGTTTACTAAGAGCTGAGTTAGGGAGAGCAGATTGATATTGAATTAAAGGGGCCCTAAGATGAGCCTTGGGAAACACCACACGTGATTTTATTTTCTGTTTTCTGATTTAAATTTCCCTATCTTTAAAGTTCCCTATCTCTGTCCTTCAAGTAGCATTTAAACTAGTCCAGTCTGTTCCAGAAAGGCCGAAAAAATGAGTTGCATGGTGCACGATGCTCCAATAATACCAGCACTGTGGTCCTTCCACAGTCTGCATGCCGTTGAACACCTTGATTAGGGCAATCTCTGTGCTGTGTTGAGCCAGAAGCAGGTGGTCATCATTCAGAAGGTGTTTAACTCTTGAAACAGCTTTTTAATGAACCGCTTCTGGTAAACAGGAGGTTTGAGACGGGCTTGTAGTTCCTCAGTAACAGCTTCTTCAAGTTGCTTTTATCTAAACATTAAACAGCTGATTATTTGATGGCATATCAGAGAAGAGACTCTAAAGTGACTCTAAAGCTAAAACCATCTGGTGTTAATTTAGGGCTGCATTGATTCATCTGAACTGTTCTTTTTTATGTCTTGATTGATCATCCAGGAAAGTTTGTTAAAACAAAGTTTAGATGTTCTTTAATCCACACAAGGTCAGAATTATTACATATAATCGCTAAAATGTACAAACACGTTTCAAATTTAAAAAAAGAAAATCACAAAGCTTTTCTGTGAAATTCTATTTACAATTTTAATGAAATTGGAACATTGTGTAAAATGTAGAAATTATACTAACATAATACAATTATTTGCTCATTGTTTTCCATCTATATGCAAAAGGAGTGAATATTTGCAAAATACCATCAAAGTTTATTCGTTTAAACATGAATTATCTTGACTTTTTTGTGTAGTAAATTTAACGTGAGTTATACAGTAATTGTAAGTCACTGTATTCTGCATTTCTTTGCTTTTTAAATGGCAATTGCCCTATACTTATGGCACAAAAACAGTTCTAATGAGCCTAAAACACTTTGCACTACATTCAGTCATTCAACCATCCATGCTTTCATTTACATGCTGAAGCAGGAAACTACATTTTACTCAAATTCTCGACAGTTTTCCATTCAGATGAAACAAACATTATAGCGTTCCAAGAGTCAAGGTGAGGCTTCCAGACCAGTGAACACTAAACCAGCTGTTAAACACAGCAGTGATAGCATCATGTGGAGGGTTATTTAGGGGTACTTGAAAAAAGATGGAACTTCAAATTTCCCGAAGCTTTAACTTCTAGACGGTTGATGACACCAACTTCTTCTTCTGGTTCTAAAGGAGCCGTGGTCTCCTCCTCGGTCTCCATCCAGCTCACCGCCTCGCTCTCCTCTGACTTATCGCGGCTACTCGTATGCAAAGCAGAGAAACGGTATGGACACGCAGATCAGTAAGACAGCTTTTCTTTTTTTTCTCTTTCCCTCTGACACATTAACTGAATTTAGCTCGTTGGTAAACGTTTCTCCTCCACCAGCTCTGTCTTTTTCCTCTCTGCTGCAGCCTATGAGAAGCACTCCTCTGGATCCATGGTTCAGCCGGAGCAGCACTCCTCACCCAGCCATTACGTGAACAAACCCACTGTGGAGCATCCAGCCATGGCTCAGGTACACTCAGCGTTTTAGCCTTTTTCTTAAAAAGCAGCATTATAATATACACTTCTGCTTATAGGCTTCCTCTATAGAGAGACTCAATCAGCAGTCTGCAGTGACCTATACAGATGATGACCCCTGGAGGATCACAGTGGAACAGCTGGAGTATTACACCAACCAGTTTAAAACCCTCCAGCCTGACCTAGGGGCTCTAATCCTGGGTAAGGAACCTCCAACTATTGCTTGTGGGTAAAAAAAAGAACCTGTTTAATGTCTAACATCTCTGTTTGCTGCTTCCAGGAGCTGTAGCAAAGAACTTCTTCACTAAATCCAAGCTGCCCATACCAGAGCTCTCCCACATTTGGTGAGTGCTGACTCAGTGTGAGTTTGTCCTCGTTCTGCTCGGAGGTCACGTTGCTGTTTTTCAGCTGCATGCTGCCTCTGAGGCCCACAGAGTCCTTACTTTAAAGGGAAAGGACCTGGACTGCACCTTTCCTCCTCAAACTAGCAACAGTATCTTGCAAATCTCCCCGCAGCGCTTGAAGGTTCTCACATTTTGTTACAATAATGCTTCAGTGAATTCACTGAGATTTTATGTTTTGATAGATTTTAACGTCGGATTTTTAGATTTCTTAACATTGGAGAATAATCTGTGTCTTAAAGACCATGGAAGATAGCAAAGGATAACATCGGAAAGCACTTAAAGCAATGCTTGAGCAATTATTCAGAAATGATCTGTGAAAAGAAATCTGTTTCCTAAAGATGAACCTTTATTATATTCCTCTACCTAGAAATCCCATTTTGATTGTCATATATCAATGATGCAAGATAATCAGATGTGTTCTTTATGTTTTCAATTCTGTTCTGTGTTTCCTTAAGGGAGCTGAGTGATGTGGACCGGGACGGAGCGCTGACCTTCTCCGAGTTTTGCATAGCCTTTCACCTGATTGTGGCTCGGAAGAACGGATACCCCCTCCCAGAGAGCCTTCCTCCGACGCTGCAGCCAGGGTTCGCGCAGCGTGGTGAGGAGCATGTGTCTCAGGTAGAGAGGGTTCCTGTAACTTTTGGTTTTCATGCTGCATTTAATTCTTCATCCTGAATGAAGCTTTTTAATTTTCCCTTTGTTTGCAGAGACTGGAGCCTTTAATTTTCTTTGAGGACGCAAAATCGAGGCCCTGTCAGGTGGTAAGCTTGATCCCCAGATGCTCTTTAATCATGCTAGTTTTCAATATGGCCTGTAGGGGGCAGCAGCAAGCTAAAGATAAGAGACTCGGAATTCAGGCTGCAGAATGTTGGTCCTAAAGAGAAACCATTAGTTCCTCAAATGGACTGCAGAAGAAAATGAATGCATCAGTGTTACCAGTCAGTTCTGCTGGCATGTCTGCCCTGTTCTCTGTTTAGGACCCAAGCAGCTCTGGGAGGCTGGAGCCAAGCTTGGCTGCAAGGAAGCAAGATTTACCAGAGGAATCCCTCCAACAAGGTAAATCAGATAATGAAATGGTCCACTTTACTCAATGAATCAAGCGCTCTTTAAAAGCAGAAACACAGTTTTACTTTTGCTTCATTAGATTTTTCTTTAAAAGTAAAGATTTCTAAGAGAAATTTTAAAGAAGCAGAAGCAATAAACAACATTCTTATGGGTCTGTGGGGCTCTATGCAGAATCTGAGCGCTCACTTATTACAACCAGGTTTAAATGCTGACATGGATGTCAAAATAAGATGCAAATAGATGGAGCATTAACTATTCTTTTTCCAGGTTTGATTGATAATATTTTCTGCACCAAGTTAGATTTTTTTCTGTGTCATATAGAGTCAGAATTATTCATACAAGCTAAATTCCTCACAGCCTGCCTTCTGATATTTAGTTACAGATGTTTGTCTTCTTCTTTAACCTAAACCCTACTTTTACCCAAACTCAGATAACAAAACATGAATGATTCCATAAATGTCACTCAGCAAGTTGTAGAGAGGAACAAAGGCTAAATGAAGCATTCAGCAATTGGAAGTTTAGGTCAGTAGTGTGCAACTTATCACATTCATTCAGCCATTTTGTTCTGAGTCCGGCCAACTAAAAGTCGTTTAGAGCCGAAAAATATTACTAAATTTTTCTATACAACAAAACCTATTATTTTTGTGAAATATCTATATCCATCTTTAAAAAAAAAGAAGAAAAAAAAAAGCTTTTGGGTATTTTTAGCTTTTAAAATAAGAGAAAACATAAGAAAACATATTGCTGGTGCTTTTAATGTAATTCTGTAATGAAAACTCAGG